GGAGATGTGTAGGAAAATATCTTACAAAATACTTAAAGAGACTATTCAAACATCTTTGATGGTTTAAACTGGATCCCTAGTCTGCATGTGAGAAATGTTATCAGTAACTTGTAGAGAAGACTTACTAATGTCTTACCTAATATACCATATAATCAAGCAAAACAACAACAACAACAAAAAATAAAGTATACCAAAATCAAGCTCTGAAAAACTGCAAAAAAACATACTGGTGTACAATAGATGTCTCAAGTCCAGGCCTTTCAGCAGGTAAATCTTGCTACTCACCCTTAGACCCAGAAAAAGTCCACCATTAAGGGTTAATAGTTGAACAAAACCCTGTGTTCTGTAGGTATAAAAATCCTGTTTGGTGGAGTAAATATACATGAAGATTCTAACGCTGGATAAAAACATTGCACCTAACTTCAAAGTGAGATACGTACTTCAATGTGGAACAGCCTTGTTGTCCTATAATTACTGATGACTACATGGTGAGGGTAAGGAAAATGTTCCAGCCATCAAGGGATTATCAAATACATCCAGAACTGGGTGACTCTTCAATGAAATCTCTTTGTTTAACTGAAACTGGCCTAAAATCCATCCTCATGCAAGGCATTTGAGGTTCATCAGCATAGTATTGATGCAAGTGGGTAAACTTCCTCATCTGCTTTCAAAAGAATATTTGAAACTTTTTTCAAATACCAATACATACAAAAACCCTAAAGGAAAGAAAAGAGGGCAGGAAAGGTCACTATAAAAACAATTACATGCACTGGGAAATTTGAACTTTAAATCAACTAACTTGACTACAAGTTGCAATTAATCCATTCCCAGTCAAAATATTGTTGTTGACCTGGCACAAAAACAGAGACCTGGTCACTCCAGCTAGGCAATCCCAGAAGATGATGCTTACAGAAGTACACACCTTCTACTGAGTTATCTAGCTTCAGTTGACTACGATACTTGCATTGCCCTAGTTACAATGACATGTGAGGTCTTCATAATCTTGACAATATTTTAGTAATGCAAGAAAGGGCTAAACATAATTTTTACCAAAGCAACAACAAAACCGGTAGAGCAGTAAATTCAAGTCACAAGCTGATGTCCCAGGTCTCAAGCCAACTTTCCATGATATGGCCTAAGTAAATTTAAATTCTCTGTCCTAAAATTGTCATACTTCCTCTCTTAAGTGAAGTTTTGGAGAAAGAGAAACTAGCTTACTGCTAGCTTCTTTGCTGTTTTTACATTACTTAACCAAGGAGATGTGACTGGGGGCATGGTAAGTGACCTTGACACTTCTTTCTGTATGATAACAGTAAATTTTGTAATGTAGGCATCTCAATTAACATAGAATATCACAAAAGAAACACTGACTTCAATAACCTATGCAAGCCTAAATTGTTTATTTTGACAGTCACTCAAGAAAGTGATGTTTCAGCCATGACTGCTGACCTTCCTGAAGGTTTCCTCCAAATAAGTCAAAGCAAACTCTCCAAATATCTAGAAGAAATGCAATGTCAAAACAGTGTGCTTCAGAATAACTGTCAACATGTATAACTAAATTAAATTAACCTGAACCAAAGATTAAATGTCGTTTTTCTGAAATGCATAATGGTCCTTGTATTTATTGAGGGAACTGCACCAAAACAACCTTGATAATTTCTGTGGATTTTGGAAGGAGGACACAAACATATACAGCTCCTTAAAATTAGTGGTCAGCAATCAGTGTTTGACCACGGAAACAATGAAAAGCCCATACTGTGTGAAATGAAACATCAATAGTTTCAGTTTTAAGATTTAATATCTGAGGTATTGTCAATATTAACTCTAAATCATGGTTTGGAGAAAGAAAGTCTATGTTCTGAAGTGCCAAATCACCAGAGTTATTTAACTGTAGTAGTGTTGCAGAGGTTGTTATTGGTTACCTGAGAATTTGTTTTTGCCATTAGTAAGAGCATCCAAAGACTGAAATGGTAGCCTGTACAAAACAACTGCAGTGAGGTTAGGCTTTAAAATCTAATCATATTATTCAGATCATTTTCATTGCCAACAAAATAATTACAGTAAAGCAGGAATAAGCTCCACTGAAGATTAAACAACAGTGGTTACTATAGCTGCTATTTACAGAGGCAAAGTCTGAAAAGATTTTATGTAGCTATAATTTATACATATGATCATCTCAAACATTCAGGCTTCCCCGAGGGAGTTGGAGTTGCACTGCTGAAACCTGAGTTAGTTATATAAATCTAAACTATCTATTTCCTGTCTCTTTTAATTCAAATTCCTGGCAGTATAACTGTGAGAGTATATGTGTGCTTCTATACACACATTTTTTTAATTATTTAACAGAAAATAGAAGACACTGTAAATTGAAAAAAAACAATATCTAGAGCAGGCTGTTAGTTGGGAGACAGTCATCATTGTTTAGTATATGTGAAGCCAAGCCTGGTTTTTAACCTTGATGTTCACAGATAGGTTTATTGCTATTTCAGCTCTCAGCAATTCCTCCTTTGCAGCTCCAGTATCACTTAACACACCAGAAAAAGTACATGAGCCAAAATGCGTCTTCAGGGAGGTATTATGCTGCCCTGAACAGCTGACTGTTCCAACATTTAGAATCTATGGTTCTGTCACACAGAAAAGATGTAAACCTTCAGGATCTGTGAAGTTTTGAGGGTAAATCCAGTCCATTTAAAAATGGAGCTATTAGTAAATTTTACATCATTTCTTCCCTTTGCTTCTCAATCGAGGTTGCTATATGAAAACTACTCCACAGTCTATTTTCAACCTTCCTGGAGTAACTACAACTCTAGGAAATGTTTGCATGTCACTGCAATCCCTTCAGTTACAGGAGCTAAATTATTCAGTGAAGTACATTTTCTGTATTCAAATCATGTCAAAGCCTGCTACTTAGAAGAAGATTCTCTAGAATAGACCTTTGCACTCTGATTCTAGTTGCTTCTCTTTCCTGTGCTTACTAGTAACTCTCTAGAAAAAGGCTTTTTGTCAGATTTGTAATTTCTTATGGACTTAAGTGATTTTACAGTCTCCTTACTTTCTTATTCTGCATTTCTCAGTCACAACAAAAAGTATTGTACCAAGCTTTCATTCCCCTTCCACAGCTCTGCCTTGAGGATAAAAGACTGGAGAAACTCTCACTGACCTTGTTCCACCACTGGAAGAAGACTCTGGAGAACTCATTTCCCCTTTCATTCAGCACTTCCACAAGTTAGCCTTCTCTGAGGAGGGATTGTGTTTGCCTTTGTACTGCCTTCTTTTCAGCAATGGTTCCCTAGTCAAAGTCAGATATCAAGACCATAATCATTTGGCAAACACTTTAAACTGTTTAATTCAAGTCTAAAATCTGGTCTTGTTTCAGTATCTGGGGAAATTTACTGGGGGCTTGCTTGATTTGCTTTAACAGATTCTTAGTCAATAGCCCAAGTTCAAGACATGCTAAATACATTCTGAGCCATGTGCATGAGCCGAAATCTGAAGTCCTTGGGCTGATGCTCCTTGGTTACTTTTTAAAGTGTTTCATTCACAATGTGCATCTTGTTTTCTACAATGCATCTTCATGATGCTAAGTTTATTGCATCACCTACTATTTCCTCCATGAAAAGGTAGCAGTAAGTATTGTATAACTATTGCATATTGCAGAAAGTACAGAAAATGTCTGTAGGGACAGGACAAGGGAAATACAGGAAACCGGGTCTTTTCAAAATGGAAGGAAAAGGAATGTATACTTTTTTTCTGACAGAAGCAAAGATGTTCTCATAAATAAAGAAGATAATACACAAGACAAAATTATGTCAGGATCCTGTATGGTAAACAGTTGTATTTAAATATATATATATATATATATATATATAAGGTTGCCCAGAGAAGTTGTGCACTCTTCATCCCTTAAGCTGTTCAAGAAGGGTCAGGTTGGATGGGGCTCTGAGCAATCTGATCTAGTGGCAGGTGTCCCTGCCACTAGTCCACTAGTGTTGGAATTAGATGATCTTTAAGGTCCCTTTCAACCTAGACAATCCTAAATTCTATATTCTAAATTTCCTAGAAAGCATACTTGCTGTTTTAACACTTACATCTAGTGCTTCATGTATGTAATTAGAAGCAGGTTTGGGGAACAGTGAGTATATCCCTCTTTGTATCAACTTCAAATACACCAAACTTCTGAAATAATGCTGCTATTCCCAGCTATTCCTGCTACAGAACACGTACATTTCCAAAAATTTTAATGCCACAGAGACACATCTTCTGTGTCTTCCAGTCTGTGACAATACTTCAGTCAAAAGTGCTTTGAATCCTCTCTAGCATATCATTTTGTTTCTCATTTACCCTAAATATAAACTAGTACAAACACTGAGTCACAGCTTTCTTTGATTTATATAATTCCTGTTTATCAAATATGATACTAATCATAGTAATTTGTTACAAAAAAACATATAATAGGTAACACATTTTTTTCTCTCACAGAACTGCACTCATGAGAGTAAGATTTGTAACTTCATGTTTTTCCCGTTCAATAGACAAAATTAACAGAATTTCAATTCTGATCAAGGTAATTACTTTAAAATAAGGTTCAGCAAAGTATTATTTTTTACCACTTGTGTTTGTCAGTCCAAGTCTGTTTTCCTCCAAAATTCAGCTGGATTACATGCATTACTAAGCACCTCTGTATTTCTCTTTGACAGAAAAGACAGAGCTCAACTTATATATACAAAAATGTATGGAATTTACTCACCTCAGAATGTAAGGTCAAACATCAGCTTACTGCAAGGCTGGTATTTAAACCTATTTGATCTTTATCTGAGGTGTAGGATAAAATGTTTGCCTGTTTTAAGAGACATTAGTAAACTTAGAGCTTGTAAAGCAGAACTACTGAACTATTCCAAACAATGGGACGATTCCACATTCCAATTTGACTTACATAAAATAAAACAAATATTGCCTGTTGTCATTACAGCAAAATTTTTATGTAAGAAAGTACATACAGATAAAATCTTCAGTATTTTTTAATGTAAATGTGAATTACTGACAGAAAAATCAACTTATTAGGATGAAAACTGAAAGAACAAGCCTCAGAGTAGATGGATGTTCAGCAAGCCACCCAGTTTCTGCTCCAAAAGATCCCAATTACAATTATTCTTTCCAGTAAAAGTGGAAAGAGAAGTAGGCTTAATTCAGCCAAATTAGGGATTAATTTACTGGGAGATGTTAACAAGCCTATGAATCTCTGTATGGCCCCTTTGTTTGGGAAACTGGTCCATTTCTATAATTGATCTGTACTTTTCCTTCTTTTCTCTTCTTCCTTTCAATGTCTACTCTTCAACAATAGTAGAATCAACATAATTTTTTCCAAAACAGTTGTTTTTATTTTACACGTGACATTGTACTACTTAAACTGAATATTGCATCATTTTCTCCATTTTCATTGGACATAAATATTATAATTGTCATAAGCTTCTCTCTGTGTTTTCTCTTTGTTTCAATTGACACTATAGTAGAGGAACTATACATTTTCATTGCTTTCATGTGAGGGAACTGTCTCAACATCTGATTTGAGTCATCAGGATACAAATATTTTGATCTCTGCTTATTGTAGTTCATGTGAATTAGATTAGTGCTGCCATACCTTTCTGGGAAGGTTGGCTGCATCATTTCTTTCTGTGGCAAGACAAGTTGCATTCCTAATACATGGCAGAATTTTGTTGCATGCCTTCAGCATGGCAAGTTTGATGCACCACAGGAGCATCCCATTCACTGAGTAGAAAAAGACTGATTAACTCTACGTCACACAGAGTATACACAGGAGAGAGGAGAAGAGGATGGCCATGGCCTCACTGCTAACGCAGAAAGAATTTATGAACTATGGTCATGGTCACTCTTTTTGTCAGGGACAGCTCTGCTTTATCATGCAGCTGTGTTCATCTGCATGGCAAGAAGAACTATGGAAAATTTCCACATAACTTTTGCTCATGAAAAAAATCATTTAGGCTCTTCCCTGTGTGCTCCTCCGCTGTCTTTGTCTAAGAAAACTACTACAAGTAGTACTAAGAGGAGGCTCACAGTCCCTACAGGACATAAGGTAGCATTGTTTTATGGCCTTAGCCTGTCACCAAATGGCTGATGATTTCCTAAAAGGCGGAAGCTTAGGTTTTATTTCTGAAACACTAAATTACTTTCCAATAGTCTGTGCACCACTCTATGCTCACACTTCCTAAAGTACTATATACTGTGCATTTTTTTTCCTATAGCACCAAGAAGTTCTGCAGAGACTGGTCATCCTACTTTTTGAAAACATGGGAAGAAAATACCATGACTGCAATCATTACCCAGAAAGCCATTTCGTCATTTTTCACATAATTTTTGACCACATAAAATAAAGGTCATTGTGAAGAAAATTAAGAAAGTATGATCCAGAAATATAGCAGGAGAAACAAGGTAAATAGGAATTGGCGTTAGAGAAGAGGGCTGCCAACATACCACAGGGCAAGCATTATGGTGATGAGGGCTTGGCACTGCCACAAACTGCAAGCATTTTCTATGCTAAGTAAATATGAAGACATGAAGGTTGTGACAACTAAAGAAGCTTCAGTGTTAAAAAAGATAGAATTACAGTGGCTAATGATATAAGTTGAATGTAAGTTTAAGGTTTTAAGCAGACAAGCTTCCTTAAGTCAAGCTGTCCTACAACTCTTCTTTCCATTTGTGGACTAGAATTAAAGAATTGAAAAATCCCTTTTTTTTTAAGTGATATAGGAGTAAACTATAGAACCATAAAAGAAGAAACTGTCTGCCAAAGAGGAATCTGATGAAAATAAACTGAACCTTGAAGCCAGGAAAATTACTTTCCTCCCACAGGTATTGCCATGGAACCTAAGACAGAATCCTTGACGCCCAAAACTTGTACTCCTTTACATCTCATGATCAGAAAAACAAGGTATTCCCAAGGAACATGTAGGAATAGAACACCTAATAATTCACCATCTAAACCAAGTTCAAACTGGTGGCTGGGAGGAGTGTTGCCCCATTGCAATTCATTCTCTTGGATTTTTTTGCCATTTGAGGAGGTACTATTTACCTCTCTCAGCCAGTGTATGAATGTGTTTAGGCATCTGGATTAAGAAAAAAAAAATTAACACTTGGCCACCTTCTGATCTATGGAATTCAAGACTCCCTAACTTACAATGTAAGGCTTCAATGGCACAGATCATGTAGGCAATAACAGCTGTGGTGTGACCTTCACAACCTGAAGACAAGTGAGGGAAAGTGTGCCAAAATAACCCTAGGATGGCTGGAGTTCTGAAAAGTGCTCAGTCAAATGAAGGTTGATTGCATGCAGAAGCACATGCTTCCCTTTACATCAACAATGGCTAAATATCAAAGGAGCCTACACATGTATTTTTTTAAAGTAAAACATCTTCTAATTGAAAAAACTCATTGTGAAGCTTATTCGGTGGAATGCATAATGAAGAAGTACTTAAAAGAGAAATAAAACTCTAGTTTCATGCTATTTTTTTTTTAATTTTAAGGAATTTCAATAAAAAGTTGAAGCCTTTTAACATAATCTTAGCTATGGTTTAGCTACAAGCGTTTTTGTTAGAATTACCAGACATTGCTATTATACCTTTTAGACAAAAAAAAAAAAAAAAAGGTAGGTTATCTGCTAATGTCTTAGTGGAAAAAGATAATTTCTGTGACACTAAGATTTCCGCAGATCAAATCCTTCAGCAACACTGCTGACTTCCAGAGTCTTAGACAGTTCTTTGCCTTCTACAGCCACCAAAAAACATCAAGGGAAGAGTCTGGAAAAAGAAAAAGAAGAAAATCATTACTATTGGAAGAGAAGAAGGAAAAAAAAAAAAAAAGCTTATTATTAACCCATTCAAACCAAAAATATTTTTGCTTAGAAAAAGATGTGACCAAGCTTGCCTTTTTAAGCAAACCATTTTTCTCAATGTTGTCTCACTTCTTGCTATGAATAAACAGGAAGTTTTCACAATTTACACTTCCTGTGAGCTTGTGCAGCAATTTTAGTTTCCACTTTCTCTTTATCAAACCATGGCCAAAACAATTTTTAAAAGACATCTTAAGAAAAGCTAAGAAAAACCAGTCTCTAAAGTAAAAAAAAAAAAAAAAAAAAATTGAAAATTTACCTTATGTCAGTTTAAGTAGAATTATGCATGGATCTCTGATATTGTCTGTGTAGCACTACTACTCCATACTTCTGTGAATCTTGTTACACAAGCACATATTTTCTAATGCTCCTGAGAATAAAAAACAAAAAAAAAATCAACATATCTTTCCAGTTAGTCTGTCAGCCATTCCAAGGTTATTTCAGGGATCCTATTGTTTTCCCTGTTTTTATGGGAAAAGTGCATTAAAATTCATCATGAGCTGTCTTATCAGATTGTTCATTTTTATGTCAAGGCAGTGAAAAACAAGGTTATTTGCAAGGAAAAACAGGGTGAAATGATAACAGTGGCAAAAGCCATTAGTAAATAAGCAGGGATAAAGCAGAAGTAATGTAAATATCTCCAAGGGTGAAAAAACCTAAAATACGAATACAACTGGGAACCTGAAGGACTATAATTTACCTTGTGTTGCACCGGCTTAAAAATGTAGTCTCAAGTTTATATTTTGAAAACAAAAAATGCTATTAGAACTGAATTTTTAATTTCCAAAAATTATTTATCGATGTAGTTTAACTGTAATAAAACATTATAGTGACTGGAGAAATGTAGTATCTTATTTTTAATGTTCAGCTAAGAGCATTTAACTAAGACTGTTAGTTAAATACTACACCGTGCTAAAGAAAGGTTTTAAAAAAGAAACTAATTTCCAAACTTTTTTTTTTCCCACCAGATCAATAGTAACAATGTAACTTAGCTTGGGTGTTTTAAAAGTATACAAATTGACATCAGTAAAATTGATGTATTTCTGCAAGCAAAAGAGAGGCTACAGAAGTGAGCGGGAAACAGCCTCTGTGCACAGCTGTGAGCTGAAATCCCAGCCAAAGCTGCCTAGTCTAGGACCCTCAGAGCCCAAGTCACACATCACTCACAGGCACGTATTTCTATGTACTCTACTCAGAAGTCTAGCCTCCAGTTTACCTTTTCATGCTTAACAGGTACTCAGAAATTCTCACTACAAAGGCAGATCTTCACTGAGATTTAGGGGTATTTGAATGCCTTCTTGCAGGATCTGCTCTATATATTTATTTCCACATAAGGTGGATTCCCATTCTCAACATTTATAATAAATAAAATATGCTATATGTTTCCTTGTTACTTACATATAACAAAACCTTAATATTTTAAAAATTATTTTAAAAATTCACAAATAATATAAATTGCAGCATACAATTAATGTTCAGAAAAAGTACATACAGACACATTAAATTTCAGACACCAGAAAATAACATTTCCTTCTCAGTAACTGTATAAATAATTTAACTGGACAAAGGAATGATTTAAAAATTTTAAGTTAAACTGAAGAGCAGGTAGAGAATGATTTCTGACAGTTAAGTTGTAGTGCAGTGCAAAATATAATCAAAGTTTTTGTATTCATATGTTATGCTAGAGTTCTGGTTTTGTCATTTAGTTTCCATAAAAAAATCATGTCTAATGTTTTGCTCTGCAGAGTATCCCGAGCTTTGTGTGCCTTCATGGCTCTTTCCTAAATACCACTCTCAGTGGAAAGGATCCTGCAAAACCTAAGGCTTTGCTAAAAACCCAAAGTGAGTTTGCACAGTGATAAATTATGGAAATACAGGCAAAAAACAAGAGGCACAGAAAAAAGAGCAAGTTGCAGTTTTCTCAAGTGTATTGAGTTTGCCAGAATATAATCCTAATACAGTCATCATAGTGAAGCATTTCATCATACTTCTAGAGAACATGAGATACAAAATCACTCACAGATGACATGTATTATTCAAGAGAACATCAACAAAAAAACCAAACAAAAGTAAAACAACCCTCTGCAAGCACAATGCTTCAATACTGAATAACCAATGCTTCTTTTATATCAACTGGAGTCAGTGAATCTGACTTCATGGTAGCCTTCTATTAGAGTACTAATGCTTAACAAAAGAAGATTTAAATTTTTCTAGAAAACAGAAATTCAGAGGGTGAGAAGTAAAGAATGAGAAAAATAGTATTATTACAGTAGCTATTTACACGCCTCTTATTAGTATTTAAAGAAATGTATGTTACACATAACTCGGAGGAAAATCAATTTTGCATTAATATCTAGTTGGAGGTATCTCAGATTTGCAGAACAGCTGATAACACTCAATAATGTAGGTGAAGAGTCTCTTATCCAGTAGCAAATTAGTTTATATTTACCATGGAACAGGATAAGCAACAAATTCTTGCATATTATCCTTGCAAGCCTCTGACAAACACTGATTCAATAAATATCCCAACAGTAGCATCACAAATGACCGAAATACTCCACAGAACAGCACAGGTAATGCCTCCCCAGTGCCACTCACTGCCTGGCTAACCAGCAGAGGCCTGGCTATCTGACCACTGTGCAGCTACTGACCCAAGCTGAGTAATCACCGAGGAAGTCAGTGGGGCATAGCCCTGCCATGTGGGTCACTTGCAAGTTGGTTACCTCTGTGGCTTAGCAGGCTGTCAAAGCAGAAAACGGGTAGGGTTGCATCCCTCTGCACTGTTAGTCCAGCCAGTAGACTGTCAGATGGCTCAGCGGTTATGTTAAAAGTACCTTGAGTTTCACTGGGCATTCTGCACTGCCTATATTTTCTCCCCATCAGCAAACTGCAGTTCTACAATGTGGAATTCCCCTTTTTTATCAGATCTAATTCAATCACATCGGGCCAATTTGGCTTGTCTGGAAGTCATAAAGACCACATAATTTGGGAACTAAGAGACTCAAATGCCTATCAGTGAGGTAAACAGAATTATAGACTCATAGAATCTTGGAATTGTTTGGATTGGAAGGGACATTTAAAGGTCACTCTGCAATGAGCAGGGACATCTTCACCTAGATCTGGATGCTCAGAGCCCCATCCAACCTGTCCTCGAATGTTTCCAGAGATGAGGCATCTACCACCTACCTGGGGAACATGTTCAAGTGCTTTGCCACCCTCATCTTAAAAAAATTCTTCCATATATCTAGTCTAAATCTTCCTTCTTTTAGTTTAAAACCATTACTCATTTTTCCTATCGCTATAGTCCATATTAAAAAGTGTGTCCCCATCAAACACTTGAAACTTCTTACCCTGGGATGCTGAGGACAGATTACCAAGACTTTACCAACCCTCAGATTAATATCCTTTGTGGCTCAATCATGTAGGAAACCCGGATAGTACCAATGGAGACTTGGAGCATTTCATGAATAACAGAAAGGCTCTGAAGAAAAAGGACAGGGAAGCTCACACAGTTCTCCTTCATCCTGTCAGTCACAGGAGAAGCATTTAAAGGAGAGGGCTCATCCTGAGAGTCAATACCTGCCTGCATGACTGATCTCACAGAACAGGTTTTAGCCTTCACAGCCACAGGACCCTTTGTGAGAAGTGGGGACAGCTGGGCAGAGGTGGGATCCAACAGACAAGGCTGTCAAAAGCATTTTAGTTTGTTGGTGTGGCTGGGGGACCCAGTTTGGTTTTCTCTGAAAACTAATATGAAAAAAATGAAAGCTTAGCCACTCCTGTTCCCTCATTCAGCAGAGGACCCTGAGAGTGCCAGAAAAAGGGAGGGTCCACCAACAGATTAGTGGAGGCAGAGCTGCCCCATCCCTTTCAGCAGCAACAACATTTACTTATACTGGATGAGATCTTATCTTCTTACGGCCTTATCTCCTACAGCTTTTTTCCCCAGTGGTTGAGGTCACAGAAACCCATGCTAACAGCATGAATGCCAGCTGAAGGGCTTAGCTGCTGAGGAAGCACTTGGGAAGACTTGTTTTAGTGTGAATTCTTGATTGGGTTTGACAGCTGACCCCAACTGCAGCTTTTCCTTCAGCCGAGGTACCCTGCTCCATCCAGATGCCAGATTTCATGATCACTATTAGGACATGGAACATAGACACACAGTGATACGTGAAAAATGGAAGGTTGACTTTCACAGGAAACAAGTCAAAAACCTGTTTCTCTGAGAAAACCCATTCTGGACAGGAACTGTCAAAAACCAAAAATGTATATCAAAACTACTGGTACGTAAAATAATAGAGAAATGGCTCTCTTCAGCGTGTAAGGGATTTTTAAACTAGGAGAAAATTTTGCATGCCACTTTTCAATGCTCTGTCCTGTCCAGGCAAGACCTGTTCAATAGTGTCGTGAACAATCTGAGTCACAAAACTGTCTGAGATGATATGAAAAGGAAAAAAAATCAAACATTTTTGCTAAACTGAGTGGCCAAGATCAAATTTAGCAAAGGAAAAACAGTACTTAAAAAGGAGATACCAAATGTATAGATAAATTTGAGTAGTAACTGTTTAAAATAGGGATCTAGTATGAAAAATAATATTCATGTGTTGTTGATAAAAAAAGAAAAAAGAATCACTTCAGAGAGGGATAAGACTTCAGATACTCATTTGCCTGTTCTGAGCTGATGAGGCTGGTGTTTTGGACCTCGCACTTCACAAATAATGTTGAGAAACTGGAAGATGTACAGAAGAGAAAAAAATGAAGGAGACAAATGTCTGACAAGTGGTCATGGAAAACATGAATTTTTTATGTGAAAAAGGTAGATAGAATGTTTACAATATAAAAAAGAGTTCCTTTCTCTTTATTAGTGTCCGTGGGTTTACCGACCACTCCTCCCACTGGGGCTGAAGATAGTTTTTCTAGGTGAATTTCTGGAGCAAAGTCATTTAAAAGTTTTAGTAATGCCTTTGCCAATTATATATTAGCAAAGTTGGGAGTTTTTTGCACATCTGCCGGGGACAGGGAAAATTAAAAAAAAAAAAAAAGTTTCATTTTGGGTTTCAGGTCATGAAATATGACAACAGGATTTGGCACAATCAGCTTTATTGAATAATTTCACAAGTAAGTTGGATGCACACCTGTTAGAAGCCATGTAGGTCAGTGCTGGCTCAATCTGTTGACCACCTCTACAAAGTTAAAAGCCAGAATGGGAGTAAAATGTGAGTTTATATGAAGAACTTGCCAATGGCTCTTCAACAGTCCCCTTGATCCAGAGTCAACAAACAGCTGAGCTGAAGGGAATCCGAAAGCATCATCAGTATGACCTGACTGGAATGTCCTGCCCCCTTTACCACTGCCAGGCATCTGATGCAGCC